AATGCAATGTGGAATATAGGGAATCTGTGGTGGGTAAACAAGACCTTTGTAATTCAACACATTGCCTGCAGTAGCATTTGCTGCTCATAGCAGCCATCGTGCTCACCAGAAGTGCTTGGCCAGCAGCTTCCACTTGGGAACATGCAGTGTGCATCCAGATGTAAAGGAAAAAAAACCCTCCCTTTGTTCAGAATAGAACACTTGTAGCCCTTAGACTATGGTTGTATTGGATGGTCTGCCTCAGGCAGGGGGTTGGACTACATGACCTCTGGAGGTCTCTTTCAGCCCTACTTCTCTATGACATCTATGACTTGAAAAAGAATGAGCCTCTTATTGGGAATTGATTAGGAAGCTGTCTGTAATTGTTTTAATTTTTAGTATCTCTTTTGGAAGAATAACCACCTCACTTTTCAGGAGAAAAACCACTATTTTCTAAGGTCTGAATAGTGAGTGTTTGTTGAATCCAACCCGTAAATTGCATTTGTAGAATCCAGCCCATGAAGTTGATATCGTCAGCAAACCCAGCTGCAGTATCAGAGAGCCTTGTAATAGTTGCCTAATGCCATTGCCTAGTTTTCAACTGATTTTAAAACTAAAAACCTAAAAGAAATTATTACTGTATGTGTGTGGGGAGAAACAAATACTCCAGCACTTACCCCTTTTTTTCAATTTTTTGTAGAAAAAAAATGTACATTGTGATCTTGGAAAGACTTACAAATGTATGTGCGTGTGCAGACTGGAACTGGAGTTTCTCACTAAGGACTAGCAAATACACAGTGTCTGAAATGCTGAACCTCCACTGCCTTGGTGTTTGTTGCCAGCCCCATTAGTCTGGTCTTAATTTTATTATTTAACAACAGGAAATGTGATTATTTTTGCCCCTGTTTGCTCAATTAAAAATAAATGCATTTTTAAACAAGATTCAGGAAAAATCCAGTCACCTTTGGGCTGAGACCAAACGTGGAAAAAAAGTTGAGCCAAAACAGGGAATTGAAATCAAAAGCTGATCTGAAGCCTTACATGTGGGCTCAATTCTGCTCTCAGTTCTGCTCCCTAGTGCTATAAATCTATAAAGATACTGAACCTCAAAAGGTGAGGGTGGGGGTGGTCCTTTGACTCAAACACATGCCATAATAAGCAAGTTATTACCTTTTCTGGCTTGCTGGAGATATTTGGTCAACAAAGCTCCAATGTTGGCTCTTTGGTCAACATTTCCATCCACCCGTTGGACAGATCTCAGCTGGCTGGCAGACGAAGGAGTACGAACATGTCGGTGATGTTCTGTCAAGCTCTGCTCCAGCTCAGGGGCCACAGGATTCGCATTGTGAAAGCCTGTAGACTGCTGTCCAAAGGAGATCATTGCGAGTGCAGCAAGGAACACACAGATGCAGATACCGCTGTACATGGCTAGAGGGGAAGAGAAGCAGAGGTGTTACAGCAATTATCTTCCTCTATTTTGGTGGTTCTCAACATTTTTTTTGGTACCAGGACCCATTGGTCAACATCGATAGCCAGTGTCCCGACTCAGCAATAGTTTAAGTAGAAAATACACAAAAGTATTTTGGCCCCAAGTTAAAACTACAAGTTAAAGCAGCTCAACAGTCTTAATTTTAAAGACAGAAATCAGTATCAGCAGGAAAACATCAACAGCAATATCAACATGTGGCCTACATTACTCCCAAGTGACATTCATGTTTTTCCATGATTGTTCATGACCCTTTCAAATATTCTTGAGACCCACTTTTGGGTCATGACCCAAAGGTGGGAACCGCTGCTCTATTTCATACTATGCCATCTTGTTAAAAGTGCTGATTTAAGAACAGATTTTAAAGTACTGTAACTCAAGCATCTAGGTTAAGACCTTGAAGAGGATACATGCAATCTAGTTAAGGTGTCAACATGTCTTTAAGGAGAAGGAGAAATCTTTGAGCTCTACAGTAGCATGAGATGGGATAAAAATGAAGCAATTGCAAGCCTTCTTTCATCTCTACAGCTTGATATACTCGATTCTTATTCATCTTTTTCATAGATCACATTTAATAAAAACAGAAGGTGCCCACTATGTGCAAAACAAACAAAACAAGCCCCCCAAAACAAACAAACAAAAATAACAACAACCGCCTCCCCCAAAAACAACCCCCTCCCTCCCCCCAAAGACCCCTGAGGATGGAATATTTCACTTTTTTTGTTATAAATTTTAAAATGATAGTGTGTGTGTTTCAGGTTCAAAAGTTTGCAAAGAGCATTTGTTTTAGCAGCTCTTTTTTAGTGTGGCCCTAGTATTTCCAATGGTTTTATTATACCTTAACAAACGAACCAACCAACCCCTGCAGGATAGCTCCAAGTAAAAGAAAAACCAAATCCTAAAATTGATCATTTGCTCCAGCAGTGGAGGAGCTGTTTGGTTAAAGTTTTGTCTCAAGCAACTTTTCAAAGCCATTTGATTTGGTCTATCAAGCAGAGAATTCTAATGCAATAGATACATCGTTGCTGACAAATAAGACCGAAGACTATACAAAATGATATCAGGGTTTGGCATGGTTGATCCTTCAGGGATCCTATGCACCAAAATAAAATTACTCTGGAAAAGGGAAAAAGAAAAATAGTTAGAAACTCCCACGGTCCAAAAGAACACTGCTGGCCACTTCACCTTAGCTGCTATTTCTCATTTGCATGCACATTAGTGAAGGGTCCCTCCTGGATCCAACCCCCTCGACAACGGAGTGATTCCTTCCCAGGACGCTTCTAAAAACTTCTCTTTCAGCAAAAGATTCAAGCAAACGTGCCCATCCCACAAGAACGAGGATGCCCATGGCTTAATAATGATGGGGGTGCTTTATGCCTGGCAGAGGGGTGATCATCATTGCTGGGAAGAGGGGGCAGGAAAGCAGGGGAAGAGTTGCAATGCAAAGGGAAGAAAGTGAGTCCGGAGGCATCCAGCACAGATCCCCGCCCCCTACTTGCTCTGCCCCTTGCTTGGGCTAAGGAGGGTGGCTCTGATCGCCAGTCCCCTACCAGGTTGCCCTGGGATTGTGTCTCCTTTTTTGGCTCAGCTGGAGCAGGAGGTGAAATGGTTTGAGGAGAAGTTGATGGCAGGGTAAGAATATGCATCCCCCCCTTCTCACACACACACACACACACACACACACACACACTCTCTCTCTCTGTCCCCCGATCGCCTAGGTCGGAGCTGGAAAGCCACATGCCCGGGAGCGCCAGCGCCGGTCCCAGCCTCTCCTACCTTCCACAGGGCAGATCTGGGCAGGGCAGGGCGGTGTCGGGGGCTGAGAGCTGCTGTCGTGCTCCTCTGCCGCCTTAAGTAGCGCGGGGCTGGGCGGGGCGGGACGGGGGGGTTGGCAGCGCGGGCCAATGCAGGCGGGGCGCGGGGGGGTACGAGCAGCTCGTCCGGGCTTTTAACCCATCCCTACCCGCAGCTTCCTTGCTGCGTGAGCTTCAGGTGATTGTTAAGTCGGGGGTCTTTGCACCCGTAGGGCTCGCGTGCCAAGACTGCAGCTGTACCCGTGTGTGTGTGTGAAGCGGGGCAGAAGCTGCCCCGGGTCACTGCACACTGATCCCTGCTGTGTGTGTGTGTCTGGCTGGATCCTGCCCCCTCTCTTCCCAAGGGCAGAGGGGTGCTGCCTTGTCTGTCCTGCCCGGCAGGCACCGAGGGGCTCCAGACCTGCCCTGCTCAGGGGCTCCCGGGGCTGGCACCACGACTGGGGGCCATGGGAGATTCTGGGCCCTGCTGGCAGAGGAAGGTGAGGACCCCTCAGAGGTGAGGGGGGAGGTGATGGGGTCTGTCTCATTCCTCCAACCCACCCCTGACCTCCCCCAGGAGCTGTAACTCCCTCCTTTCCCTCAACGTGGTCCCTGGTTTCTTTCCTCTGTAGAGGATTCGCGGCTCCTGTGTATGTGGCAAAGCCTCAGGCTGTGCCAACTTCTGATTCCCTCCCAGTCCCTTTCCCCTTGCCATCATTGTCCAAAATCCCTCAATTTGAGGGTGATCTCTACCACAGCTCATTGATGGATCTTGTGGTGACTCCAGAGTCCAATCCTTGAGTCACAGATGCATCTGCACAAGTTGCAGGTTTTTCCCCAGGGAAAGGTAGACTGCAGGCCAGTATTTCTCTCCTTTTTCTTTCTCCACTCCTTCCCCTCACATTGTGCCCGGCAGGACAGAGACCCACTGGTTCCCAGTCTCCAGTAATCCTACCTGGTCCTGTCTGTGATTCAGTCTTTTGCCCTAATGACTTTGGGGGTCTGCCTTTGCTTCACCCCAATCCCCAACCTGATCTTGAGCCATTTGTGGTGGTGAGGGTGGGCACTGGCAACATGCGGAGAAGGTGGGAGATGGGAATTGGGTGAGCTCGGGACCCTTTGCCATCCCTTCACCCTACCCATGCTTTTCTCTCCTGCCTTCTGGATCCTGGGACCTGGCTCCATCACCACCTCGGACAGCGCCAAGGCAGGTCTAACACTCCTGATCTGAAGGGGATGTTGGTGACTAGGGGCCCGGCTACACTTTCCAATTAAAACTGGTTAGAAATCAGCTGTAGAGTTGTTACACATTTTCAAGTCCTAACTTGAGAGCTGGTTGGCTCTTTTTATAGCCGGAGAGTCATTTTTAGCATGTGCTAATTACTTTGCATGTGTGTTGGTCAAAATATATTGTGCCATCAACTAGTTAATTGTGTGACAACTACTTTGCCCTCATGGTCAGTTTTACTTTTCATGCATGGCTGGTATATTGTGTGATATGTTGCAGGGGCCTGGCTCACTGAGCTGGGAAGAGAGGCTGCAGCTGTTCAATCAGATCTGGAGGGATTTGCAAAGAACAGAGGAAGTCTGAATGTGTGTGTGTGTGTGGAGAGAGGAGAAGAAAAGAGGGACAGTGCAAAAAGAGCCAGTATTTACCTCAGGATGCTTTGATGAAGGAACTGTTTCCCCTTTCCTAAGAATTTGTTCTCTCTGTCAAACTGAGCCTTGGACACATAGCATATTGACATCTGTGTAATCAGCCTTTACACTGGTGCATGATGTGCAGTGTTACACTGGGGTCACTAATTTGAATCCAGTGTAGAATTACCTTGGGAAAAATCAAGGCATATAATTAAACAGGTGCAAGTTATAGTGCTGCAAGCGTAGATGTGTAGAGCTGTCCCAAGAAAGTCTTTGGCCAGAGGTTTGGAGGCTTTCCTGCCACCTCGTGGACAGGAGCTGTAATACTGTATGCTATCCTGGAATACCTGGTTCTCTCTCTACTCTGGATCCCAGTGTAAGGTCAGCGTACAAAACCATTGTAAGTTATGCCAATGTAAAAGTGGCATATGTCCAAGCCCAAAAGGTCTTTCTGATTAGTCAGTTTCCCTAGTTTGGCTTAATAATAAAACTGCTCACTGTATTACAGAAACAAAATGGGCAACATGAAAACACACAGTGACTGGCTGGAGAAGTAGCACAAACTTTCTGTGAAGGTACTATGCAATAATACTTCTCATGAAGAGTGGCTTCATGGAGCCCTTGTGAAGACATATTATAAATCATGAGTTCCCACAGAAATAGCCTGGAGGTTCACGTAGGAGAAAATCAGACAACTAATATGTATAACATAATATTGAATATATAATATGGAATGTTAAAGGTTGATCTGGATGAACAATTACCGTGTCAATGCAAATGACATCAGCAGTACATAATGACAGGAATTCAATTACATCAGTATGATGTGACATATATATTACTTTGATTATAAATACATTTTAGCTGAAATGCTGAAAAACCTAACTCTTTTCTATTTCAGACTGACAGCAGCTGTATGTTTCCTGACAGCTAAATTACTCTAAATAATAGGAGAGGACATCATTCTAACTCAGCCATTGAAAAGTTCTTAAAGCAGATGCTTCTCACAAGTGCATCTCTTGTTCCATAGGTCAAACACTATGGCCCTGAATGTGTGGAATGCCATGTAATTGAGGAGAATTTAAATACATTGTTTTTGCTGTTGAACAAATAACCCTGCTGTGTACCTCCAAAATACATGAAAACAGCAGCAATGGTGTTAGTGCTGTACCAAAACAAAGAGAAACTATGACTGTCCATTGTATAGTCACACATATAATATCTACATATATTAGAAGTGTGTTCATGAATATTTACAGTATTACATAATGAGTGTTTAACTCTCTAACCATTTGCTAACTCTGCCTTGTTCACTAACTCTGCCTTGTTCAGTACATAGGTCTGACAATTTTCAGTGAATGTTGCTGCTGTTTGATACTTTTTATTCCTAGTGTTCAAAATTCTGGTTTTCTGCCTCATTCAATCCACACTATATATCCTCCATAGCAAATATATTCATCATTCATTCACCATTCTTCACAGTGACTAAGAAAAATAGATCATATTAGGTTAACATGTAATGCTGCTCAAAGCAGGTTAGCATCTTAACTAGTATTCTGAAGTTTTTGCATTTGCTACCTTAACTTTCTTTTAATCATTTTTTGTGTGTCAGATTCTGAGATTGTATGTTATAATTTGTGTGTTCTCCAGTTCTGTGCTTGATGTTGTATAGAATGCTTGGGTCTCAATAAATAGTTTTTGCATTTTTGAGAGGGTCAGAAAGATATCACTCTAGTGAAGTAAATTCAGTAGTTGAGTGCGATAGGATGAAGTTTGACTATAGATGCTTTATATAAAAGATCTCTCAAACAGTTATTATGGATCTGGATAACTTGTTGTAAATGTTATTTCAAAAACAGCAAAATAGCTAATTAAATTGACCTCCATTATGGGCTGGTATATTCAAATACCAGGAAACATGCAGTTTTTATTATTATTATAGTAATTGGGAAGGTTCTAACTTTTCATGATCTTATTCTTTAGGTTTTCCACAATCTCATATACAGTATATAGTTGTTAAGCTCCTAATCAAAACTATAGGTTAATTTAAATCTAGTTGAAACCGTTAGGTGAAATGGAGGCTTTTCAATTTAGACAATGCAAGTGTCTGTAAGTGACAATTTGCCTGTCATCTGAGCAGGTAAAGCCTGTATTTTAGAGGGCTGAGGCACCTCTCACTTTCAGCAAAGGATCCTAATATTCAGAGCTTCTCTTCTTTCTCTACAGTATTAGAGGAATCACACCCTGTAAGAATGGGAAACTTTCTAAAGCCTGTTTCTGGGTAAATTTACCTTCTTAAAGAGCTTGGGTTTGTGCATCCTTTTCCTGTCACATTTTTCTGTGTCACACAGTGACTTCAAGATCATGGGGATCATTTAAGAAAAGGTGGGTGTTATGGCCTTTCTCTCATGGATAAAGGAACTCAGTTATCCCTAGATACTTGCACATCCTTTCTCCTATTACAGCAGTAGATACAGGTGTGCTAAGTGGCTGTGGCTTTTGTATCCTTGAATATAGTTCCTGGGTGATATCAGCTGTTCCTTACAACAATATGGTTTTATGAGGAATGATAGAAGCTATATACTTATCATGCTTATATTTAATATTTTTCTAGATAAAGGAATAACATATGGGCCTTTATTTATTGCACTGTTCAGACTCAAAGACATTTACACTCTATATTGGAGAAGTAGCTATGTATTGCCAAGCATAAGCATATGGGGAAGTTATACCACAGAGGATAAAGCCAGATGGCTGTTTTGTGGAACCAAGGAAGCCTAGTGCTTAAGAGTGTGATCACAAGCACATTTTCTCCTTTGTCAGTATCACGTTTTTCTAATTTGCACTGCATTTTTGTTCTACTAAGACCTGGCTACTTATGAACAAGTACAAGCTATACTGGGCAAATTTATCCTTATTGTGGCTCCACTGAAGTCAATGGAGTTGGCCACAAATGGGATGAATTTGTCCCATTATGTATAATGAAATAGCAAGAACTGGCAGCAAATAACAGATGAGTGGAACTGTATGTTCTTCTGGCACTCATTTTATACAAACATATCAGTGAATATATCATTTCTGCAAACTTCATGATTATATGAAGAGCCCCCTGAGTACATTTTAAGAGACAAAACTCATTTTTTTTAACACTATTGTTCATATTGACTCAATTGTTGTTAGCTGGTTTTGGTCTTAGACTGTCTTTTAAATGCAGAGAACTGAAGGCTTCTGACCCCTTTTGAGAAAGTTGTTCACTTCAGCCAATGCGTGGAAGGAAGAAACACAATAGGAAAAAAAAAGTGTCCACATTTTGCTTGGAGTGGTGGGCATGCAGGTGGCTTGTAGGAGTAAGGCACCATGAAGATCATTAATCAGCATTAACTCCATTTTCTCATCCCACTAGTG